AAAAAAAAAAAAAAAAAAAGAAGCAAGGCCTTAAGAGCAAGTACTAGTAGAAACCACAAACTGTAGAATCAGAATCAGCCTGCAAATTTTAAAATTTGGAGATTTTTAGAATAGAATATAAAATATGTATTTTTTAAATATTTAAATAATAACAGAGTGTCAGGTATATGAGCAAATCATAGAACATATGATAAATAATAGAACATATAGACATATATTACACATATGCATGTACTATGGATACATATATTACATATATATGTGCATTATATATGTATATGGAGAAAGAGCAAGTAGATTTGAAAAAGATACAAACAGAATTTGGAAAAATGAAAAGAATTAATAATAATTTAAATTAAGAACTCAATAGATAAAAATATCAGAATATTATACAGTCAAAATAGTTGAAGAGAGAATTGGTGGTTAAAGATGAATAAAAAGACTCACAGCTGGTCCTTGAAGCTGATCAGCCTGGGTAAATTCCTCCCATTGACATGCTAACAACAATCAAGATTCAACTACAACAAGAGGGTGTACAGCCCACATGGGGGGTGTACCTCGTGCCCAGCTGGGGTTACTGGGGAGGCTGTGCCACTGGACCCTACAGGACACCTACTACATAAGGCCACTCTACCAAGCCTGGGAGATGTAGCAGCACTGCCTAATACATAGAAACAAACACAGGGAAGCAGCCAAAATGAGGAGACAAAGAAACATGTCACAAAGGAAAGAACAGAAGAAATCTCCAGAGAAAGAACTAAACAAAATGGAGACAAGCGAACTACTAAATGCAGAGTTAAAAACACTGGTTATAAAGATGCTCAAGGAACTTAGTGAGAACCTCAACAACATAAATAAAAACCAGTTAGAAATGAAGGCTACACTAACTGAAATGAGGAATAATTTACAGGGAATCAACAGTAGAGCAGATGAAGCTGAGAATCAAATTAGTGATGTGGAAGATAAGGAAGCAAAAAAACACCCAATCAAGACAGCAGAAAGAGTCCAAAAAGATGAGAATTGTATACGGAGCCTGTGGGATAACTTCAAGCATAGCAACATATGCATCATGAGGGTGCCAAAAGGAGAAGAAAGAGAGCAAGAAATTGAAAGCTTATTTGAAAAAAATGACAGAGAACTTCCCTAACTTGGTGAAGGAAACAGACATACAAGTCCAGGAAGCACAGAGGGTCCCAAACAAGAAGAACCCAAAGAGGCCCACACCAAGGCACATCATAATTAAAATGCCAAAGGTTAAAGACAAAGAGAGAATCTTTAAAGCAGCAAGAGAAAAGCAGCTAGTTACCTACAAGGGAGCTCCCATAAGACTGTCAGCTGATTTCTCAACAGAAACTTTGTAGGCCAGAAGGGAGTGGCAAGAAACATTCAAAGTAATGAAAAGCATAACCTACAATCAAAGTTACTGTACCCAGCAAAGCTATCATTTAGAATCAAAGGACATATAAAGAATTTCCAAGACAAGAAAAAACTAAAGGAGTTCACAGATTGTGGGGAGTGGGGGTGGTGAAAAAGGTAAAGGGATTAAGATACAAACTGGTTGTTACAGAATAGTTGTGGGGATGTAAAGTACAGCATAGGGAATATAGTCAATAATATTCTAATAACTACATGTGGTGCTGGATAAATATGGGATTTATTGGGGGTGATCACATATTAAGTTATGTAATGTCTGGCCACTGGAATGTACAAAAAAAATTAAAATATATAATTATATATAAATCACTTTTGAAAAAAGATGAATACAAAATATAGTTAATGTCTCCCATGAGACAACAAAATGGGGAAAAAAAGGGATAACAAAATGGGATAAGAAAAAAAAGAAATTTGAAAAACCATGGAGGATAGAGTGAGGAGTTCTAGTGTATTGGTACAGAAAGAAATATTAGAAGACGAAGTAGCGTTAGAACGATAGTGGCTGAGAATTTCCAGAATCATTGAAAATCAGAAATCAATTTCAGAAAGCCTACTACATCATTTTTTATCTTTATTGTTAGAAGTATTACAGATGTCCTCTTTTTTCTCCATTGACCTCCTCCACCCTGCCCCACCTTCCATCCAAGGCTTTCACCACACTATTGTCTGTGTCCATGGGTTATGTATATATACATATAAATTCTTTGGTTAATCTCTCCCCACCCCCACCCATGCCCAACTTCCCTCTGAGATTTGTCAGCCTGTTCCATGCTTCACTGTCACTATATCTATTTTGTTCATCAGTGTATTATGTTCTTTAGGTTCCACATATAAGTGAGATCATGTGATACTTGTCTTTCTCTGCCTGGCTTATTTCGCTTAGCATAATATTCTCCATTTCCATCCATGCTGTCTCCAACTGTAAGAGATCCTTCTTTTTTACAGTTGCATAGTATTCCATGGTGTAAATGTACCACAGCTTTTTTATCCACTCATCTACTGATGGGCACCTGGGCTGTTTCCAGATCTTAGCTATTGTAAACTGCACTACTGTGAACATAGGGGTGCATATATTCTTTCTGATTAGTGTTTCAAGATTCTTAGGATATATTCCTAGAAGTGGGATCACTGGGTCAAATGGCAGTTCCATTTTTAATTTTTTGAGAAAACTCCATACTGCTTTCCGTAGTGACTGCACCAGTCTGCATTCCTACCAGCAGTGCACCAGGTTCCCCTTTCTCCACACCCTCGCCAGCACATGTCATTTGTTGATTTGTTGATGGAGCCATTCTGACAGGTGTGAAGTGATAGCTCATTGTGGTTTTAATTTGCATCTTTCTGATGATTAGTGACTTTGAGCATTTTTTCATATGTCTCTTGGCCATCCATATGTCCTCTTTGGAGAAATGTCTGTTTAGGTCCTTTACCCATTTTTCAGTTGGGTTATTTGTCTTCCTCTTGTTGAGTTGTATGAGTTCTTTGTACACTTTGGAAATTAGTCCCTTATCAGATGTATCCTTAGCAAATATATTCTCCCATTATATTTGACAGAGGAGGCAAGAGCATACAATGGAGTAAAGACAGTCTCTTCAGTAAATAGTGTTAGGAAAATTGGACAGGTACATGCAAAAAAAAAAAAAAGAAACTAGATCACCAACTTACTCCATACACAAGAATAAATTCAAAATGGATCAAAGTCTCAAATGTAGGTTGCAGAATTATAAAATCCTGGAAGAAAACATAGGCAGTAAAGTCACAGACATCTCACGTAGTGGAATCTTCACTGATGCATCTCTTAGGGTGCGAGAAACAAAAGAAAAATAAACAAATGGGAGTAAATCATTTTTAAAAATTACTTGCCTATACACATCACTGTGAAACTTCAGAACACCAATGCTCAAAAGGTCTTTGAAGCAGCCAGAGGGAAAAATTAAGTAGGCATGTTTAAATGTTCAGTGTAACTACTGAAAGAATATTTTTAAAGTGTAATTTCCAAAACACAATGAAGAAGAAGGGAGAAAAATTCAATCACATCCAAAAAGCAGGAGATGAGATAGAAATGAAACAAAAAAATAATAGATGGTGAGATTGAAGATGGTGGCTGAAGAGGTGAAAGCAATGTACACCTGCTCCCAGCACCGAACCGGAGATACAGCTAAAACTTAGAGCAATAAACCTGAATTAACAACAGAAAGACACCTGAACAGGAGTATTATATCCAAGGATTGACAAGCAGAAGCTACACAGAGACTGGTAAGAGGGGCGGAGGCACGGGAAGGGCTGGTCCCTGCATCCAGGGGCAGCAGCTTTAGACAGATAAATATTGTGGCTGCAAAAACCTCCCCCCCAGAGGAAGGGACCCCCAACCCAGAAGACCAGGGCCTGAAAGAAGAGCCTGCATAACATTTGGCAGCAAAAAATAAATGGGGAATCGGCCCACTGGAAAGGGGAGGGAGTCTGCCTGAGTCCAGGGCATTCTCCGTAAAGACCACCCCATACAGACTCATTCTCAGGCACTCACCCAGGGCTCTGGTGGAGGGAAGGAGACTCAGGGTGTATGGAAACCAGGAGGAGACTATCAGGGTGGCATAGCGCTGGAGATTGGGAAGGCAGGCTTCTGAGGTCCCAGTCCCAAGCCAACATCCTACACCATCCCCAGATGCCATCTCCCAGGGTCTAGCCTTTCTGTTCTTACAGCACGAGCTAGAGAAAGTGCACTAACTCTGTCCTCCAAATACTGGTGACACCACCCTGCCAAGCTTAAGTCTGACATAAAGAACTGTAGGCTGTTCCCAAAAGGGACCTGAGCAGTGCTTTTTCCTCTGGAGAAACTATGGACAGCCTTAGACGAACAATGAACTGAGTGGCGGGGGACTAAGAGTCAATATTCCCCCCTCCCAAAGGGTAAGGGGGCGCAATCCTCAAAGGAAGGCAACCTGGGCAGGGCCTCAGGCTACAGGCCACTTGTGAATAAGGGGGAGATGTACACTTGCAAACCTCCCCTCAGGATCTTTTGCCAAGCACTGCCAAGCCAGGAAGCCAGAACTTAATTAACCTGCCAAGGTCCTGCACCACCCCCAACAAGAGGCTGCCTGGATTTGCATTCCCAAATTCTGCATCTGCATTCCAAAAGTGGTCTGCACCGAGCCAAGTGCAGATCCATAGCAGGAACAAAGTGCAAACCAGAACTGGGTCATTGCCGCCCCCTCCCAGAGGCCTGCACTACGGCCCCTGACAGTGAGCTACAGAGTGACAGGCTCTCTGTTACCACCATAGGAGCTGGAGCAGCCCCAAGCAGAGGGGGCATACTTGTGCTATCACTCCAAGCCCCACCTGCACCATCCTGCAGGGGCACACTGGCTGGGAAAAGGGGCCACAAATCAGAACTGTGCAACCTGGAGCTTCACTTCTGGAGCTCTGGTGGGGTGGCCCTGAGCTGTAGGGCAAGTGCCCAGCTCCCTTGAGGGCCAAACATCTGTACCACCCCCAATAAGGGGCAACCTGAATTTGCATCCCCAAAGCCTGGATTTGCATTCCAAAACCTGCCTGGGTGACAAGCCAAGGGAAGATCTCCAGCCCTTATGCAAACCAGAACTGGTTCTTTGGAGCTCCCCCTTAGAGGCCTTCACTGGGTCATCCCCACAAGAGCCAGAGCCAGAGCCACCTCAAGCACTGGAGGCAGCCTTGTGCTATTACTCCAAACCCCACCTGCACCATCCTGCAAGGGCAGGCTCACCGGGAAAGGGGGTCACAAATCAGAACTGTGAAAGCTGGTGTGATCCACTAAGAGCCTCCCTTCAAGAGCTCTAGTTGAGGGAGAGATTAAAGATGGCAGCAGACTGAGTAGAAATTACACTGACACTCTCCCGGGACCAAATTAGAATTACAACTAAAATATAGAAAACCATCCTGAATAATCAACTGCAACTGAAGACGCACTGCAGAGCACCCTCATAACCAAGGACGAAAAGTGGAGACCCCATAGAGACTGGTAGGAATTGCTGAGGCGCGAGGGGGCTGGCTGGGCTCCCACAGGCAGCAGGTGAAGGTCTGGAGGGAGATCTCAGTTGTGGCAGGTTTCCACTGAGTACTCTGGGGTCTAAACCCCAGCCATGGTGCCACTTCTCTGGTTTCACTGCTTATCTGGGCCTGTTGCTGAAATACAACTGAGGCCTAGATGTTACCTTTAGGGAGGGATGCTCAGGAGGTCTAAACCGCATAACTAGCAATATTCTAGGGAAGGATTACCCTGGGGACAAGTTTCTTGTTTTCCCAATTTTGCCCCTTGCTAGGTATTAGGGGCTTCCTGCCCTGCTGAGTTTCTGTACCTGGGTCTCTGTACCTGGCCCATCTAACAGACTATATACTCTGCACCATGGCTGACTCAGGACTAGATACATTGACTAATGACCCCCTTCCCTTGTACTGACCAATCAGTGGAGACCACGACCCTGAAAGAGCACACCTGGAAAGCTGATGAATATTCCATTGAGACCCTCCCCTGAGATTACCACTTGCAAGAAAGGGATAAATAAGCTGGAACAAAGGACCCAGTGCAAGCTCCCCACCAGTGGAGCATGCCTGCACCAACCATCTCCATTCCTCGATGCAAGGGGTGGGGACCCCACGAGACTTGCAAACGGGAGCATTGGGCGGTGGCAGCTCATCCTGACCCTCTCCCCAAGGTCCCTTCCCTCTCCAACTTCTCAGTGAGCCACAGCAGCCCAGCCTGGGCTCTCCTGTTGTCCCATCTATGCATCTTCCTTGCTTCACTGTCCCAAGTATATTTTTGCTGCCATCATGGACCCAATACCCTTTGGCTCAGTGCTGTGTAGCCCTTCCCTGTGGATACCCCCATTCCCTTCTAACAAATTCAATTTTTCTTTATTCACTCATCTGAGATGGCTCTTGAGTCTGCCTGTGCAGCACCACAATTAGCCTTTCAGATATCAGACTATATCTGTACTGCATAATATGGTAGCTACTAGCCACATGTGGCTATTTAAACTTAAATTTATTGAAATTAAATACAATTTTAAATGCAGTTCCATAGCCACTGTAGCCAAATTCCTATCTGTTCTCTACTGTTGAGTTCTAGGCTGTATCTCATACTTTTAACTCCCTTACTTGATTGATTTGGTTTAGAAATGTGAAAAGTAGACTGTAGTTGTTTCTTGTTCCTAATGGATGCCAGGAAAACTTATCATGTCTACACCTACTTCATCAAAAAGACTTTTCAGAACTCTTCAATTATCAGCACAAACTGTCATTAGCTATCAACTGGAACAAACCTATTGGGAAATAGTGTTCTTCAAATATAATCATCTGGTTTTTAATTCCCTGAGTTTGGTTTGATTATAATTGTGGGATTTGTTATCCTGGGGATAGTTCATTTCCTATAATGAAACCCAATCTCTCATCTTTTTAGAAGCTGAACGTAAGCTATCAAATACCACCAGAACCTTCACACGTAGGTCATTACTACTCCTTCCCAATTACAACTTGGCAAAGTGTATCAGTAACTATTATGCTTTCTACCTGGTGAAACCATGGTGCCTTGCGGGAGAGACTGCTGAGGACTTGCACTGTGCTAAAAAAAGTAAGTATCTCAGGAGCCCCTAAGTCTCTAGGAAATTAGCCTCAGGGTCAGCCCATGAGACATTGGGAATCTCCCCTTATTTCGAAGGAGAGAGTCAGGCCACAAGTACGCAGGTCATTTTACAAGGCTGGGGAAAACTGTGTAAATATAATAAGCCTCAAAAGCAAATCTAAGGTAAGTTTAAAGTTGTCATTAGATACAGAACTAAGAGCCACTAATAATCAACCACCTAGTAACTTTACATACATTATTTTAAATCTTCACAAACTTAAGCTATCTTTTTAAAACTCATTTTGAGGAAAGTGCTTGTGCCTGATCTTACACAGCTTTCATGGATCAGAACTGGGACTCAAAACTTTTGTTCTTTCCTTGTGTGATGCACTTCCTCTATGTGAAAGACCTCAAGGGGAAGGCTTTGTATTGTATTGTATTTACTTGTATTCCCCCAACACCATCACCACTCAGAATCACACACTAATCTACAAACAACTTACTTGAAGGAATGAATTATTTGGGTATCCTATTAATAATTTGGGGAGAGAGGTTAATAAAATTTTTCTAGGATCATTTTATTTTACCTACATTTTTAAACTTATTGGAGTAAATTTGTTCATAATATATTATGATATATTTAACATCTATAAGTTTTAGTAATGATATCACCATTTACAGTTGTGACATTCCTAATCTTTCCACCTGTAATTTTTTCCTGATAAATCTTACCAGAACTTTATCAATTATATTAGTCCTTTCAAAAAACAAACTTTCACATTTATTGATTCTTTCTATTGTATGTTTGTTTTCTAAAATATTAGTTGAAGTTATTATTTTCTTCCACATTCTCCATTTCAGGAGATTAATTTTTTAACACCAAAAGATGCATTCTTAAATCATTTATCGCTAGCCTGTCATCTTTTAATTTCTAGGATATATCTCACTGGGGCTTGGGAGGTTTGTATTTTTCTGGATTCAATTCTCTGGGTTTCTTGCTTCTGTGATTTGATGTCTCCGTGCTTTTGGAGAATTCTCATCTTGGGAAGGCAACACTTTTGAGAAGAGCAACTTGGAAGACAGAACAATCCCTTAGAGGCCTGATGTTGTATAAAAAGAAGGAAACAACAGCATAAGTTAAAAGTATGGCAGAAACGGAGGGTTAAGGGGGAATCAGAAAATTGTATCCACACCACCACTAACAGAAAAACATTTATTAAAGAAATTATATTTTGCCTTACCAACAGAGATAGCTTTCATATAGTAAACAATCAAGTAATCATCCTAAAGCCATCACCACCCCATAAAATTACTGCTTTGATTATTCATTAAAACTCACAACAATTAACAACAGAAAGAGATAACCAATAGTCATACAAAGCTAGTGTGACAAGACAGCTATACAAATGTAAACAACAATTATAAGAAAATAATCTAAAAAAAAACAAAATTAAGAATGACATAATTAACCACAAAATCAATTAAAATATACCTATGGTGGGGGTGAGGTGGGGGGCAAATAAGGCTAAAGGTTAACAGTTGATACTAGGTAGAGGAAATGGCCTTTATTATACTATTCAATTTCACTTTATGCTAGAAAAAAGTTTTTAATGAAAACATGGAGGGGATATCCAAGATAGCAGCAGAAGTTACCCTCATCCCCTACTGGGTTCAAAGTGGAATTAGAGGAGTCTGTGGGTAACGTTCATGACCCAGCACCCTTAGGCAACAGATAGGCTCACACAGCCCCACCACTGGGACCAGACACCCCCAGACACATGGCCCTGCTGCTTTGAGGAGCTGGACACACAGACCTGCCTCCGCAACCAGGCACAATGAACCAGGCACCACCAGAAGATTGGACCCCCTGCTGCAACCGGGCAAGACCTGTCACCGCTAGACACACTGACCTGCTTCTATGACCTGGCCTGCCTAACCCTGTGCCCAGAACAATCAACTGCTAAAATGGGGAGAAAAAACAACAACTCTCAAATGAAAGAAGAGGAATCACCAGAAAAGGAGCTACATGAAATGGAGGCAAGCAATTTGTTGATAAAGAATTCGAAACAATGTTTATAAGGGTGCTCAAACAACACAGTGATAACTAGAAGCAACTTAATTAGATCTATAAGAAACAATGAGAACTGCACCAGCATGAAAGAAGAGATAGAAACCATTAATAAGAATCAATCAAAATTAAGAATGACATAATTAAAATAAAGAATACCCTGGAAGGAATCCACAGTAAACTGGAAGAAGCTAAGGACCAAATCAGCAAATTGGAAGATGAAGTAGAGCTCTGCCAGCATGGCTCAGTGGTTAAACATTGACCTATGAGCCATTAGGTCACAGTTCAATTTCTGGTCAGGACACATGACCAGGTTGCTGGCTGGATCCCCAGTAGGGGACATGCAGGAGGCAGCCGATCAATGACTTTCTCCTATCATTGATGTATCTATATCTCTCCCTCTCCCTTCCTCTCTCTGAAATCAATAAAAACATATAAAATTTTTTTAAAACAGAAGGCAAGGTAGAAAAAAACACCCAATCAGAGCAGTAATTGGAAAAAAATAATAAAAAGCAGAAGGAGAGTTTAAAGGAGCTTTGGGACAACATGAGATGTAAAAACATCTACATCATAGGGGTACTAGAAGGAGAAGAATCTGAGCAAAGAATAGAGAACCTGTTTGAAGAAATAATGACAGAAAACTTCCCTAATCTGGTAAAGCAAAAGTCACACAAGTCCAGGAAACACAGAGAGCCCCAATCAAGATGAACCCAAGAATACTCACACCTAGACACATCATATTTAAAATTGCAAACATTAAAGACAAAGAAAGAATCTTAAAGGTAGCAAAAGAGAGACAGAAAGTTACCTACAAGGGAGCTCCCATTAGACTGTCAGCAGATGTCTCAATAGGAACACTTTAGGCCAAAGGGGAGTGGCATGAGGTATTCAACGTAATGAAAAGCAAGGGACTGAATCCAAGACTACTCTATCTAGCAAGGCTATCACTCAAAATAGATGGTGAAATAAAGAGCTTCCCAGACCAAAAAAAAAAAGCTAAAGGAGTTTATCACCACCAAACCAGCACTGAAGAAATGCTAAAGGTGCTGGGAGGAGGAGAATGAGAAGGAAGAGGAGGAGAAAGTGGGGGGGAGGAGAAGAGGAGAGGGCAGAGTGAGAGAGAGGAAGGGAGGAAACAGGCATAAAGAGTAAAAATGGCAACAAATATGTAACTATCAATAATAACCTTATGTAAATGGCTTAAATGCTCCAATAAAAAGACAGAGGGTAGCTGAATGGATAAGAAAACATGACCATTATATATGCTGTCTACAAGATACCCACCTCAGAACAAAAGACTCACACAGGATGAGAGTGAAGGGATGGGGAAAAAAATTTCCTCACAGGTGGAAATGAAAAAAGAAAAGCTGGGGTAGCAATACCCATATCTGACAAAATAGCCTTCAAAATGAAGGCCATAACAAGAGACAATGAAGTCCACTTCATAATACTAAAGGGATAAATACACAAGAGGATATAACCCTGGTAAAAATATATGTACCCAATATAGGAGCACCAAAATATATTGTTTTAAAAACTTCTGGCGGAGTTTAAGGGAGAAGTCAACAGCAGTACAATCCTAGTAAGTGACCTTAACACTCCACTGACATCACTAGACAGATATTCTAGGCAAAAAATCAACAAGGAAACAGCAACCCTAAACTACACACTACATTAAATGGATTTAATTGATATTTCCAGAACATTTCATCCCAAAGTTGCAGAATATACATTGTTCTGAAGTGCACATGGGACATTCTCAAAGATAGACCACGTGTTAAAACACGAAGCAAGTCTACAAATTCAAGAAGATTGAAATATTAATCATCGCCTCAGATCACAATGGCATGAAACTAGAAATAGACTACAATAAAAACACCCAAAACATTTAGACACTTGGAGGCTAAGTAGCATATTATTAAACAATGAATGGGTTACCAAAGAGATCAAGAAAGAAATCAAAAACTTCCTGGAAACAATGAAAATGAACACACAACAACCCAAAATCTATGGGACACAGCAAAAGCAGTCCTGAGAAGGAAGTTCATAGCACTAAAAGCCTACCTCAATGAACAAGAAAAATTTCTAATAAACTATATAACCCTACAATTTAAAGAATTAGAAAGAGCAAAAGAAGGTCCAGGGTAAGTAGAAGAAAGGAAATATAAAGATGAGAGCCTAAATAAATGGAAAAGATCAATGAAACCAAGAGTTGGTTCTTTGAAAAGATAAACAACACTGATTATCTTTGGATAACTTTTAGCCAAACTCATCACGAAATAAAGAGAGCAGACCCAAATAAATGAAATCAGAAACAAAAGAGGTGAAGTAACAACCGACACTACAGCAGTATAAAAGATGGTAAGAAAATACTATGAACAATCTGGACAATCAGGAAGAAAAGGATAAATTCCTAGAAAAATACAATCTTCCAAAACTAAATCAGGAAGAATCAGAAAACCTGAGTAGGCCAGTAACAGCTGATGAAATTGAAGCAGTAGTTTAAAAAACTCCCAGCACAAAAAAGCCCTGGCCTGGATAGCTTCATAGGGGAGTTTTACCAAATATTCAAAGAAGAACTAACACCTACCCTCATCAAACTATTCAAAAAAATCCAAGAGGACACTTCCAAGTTCTTTATACGAGGCCAGCATTATCTTAATTCCAAAACCAGATAAAGACACTACAAAGAAATAGAATTAGAGAGCAATATCCCTGATGAACACAGATACTAAAATTCTCAACAAAATATTAGCAACAGGTATTCAGCAATACATTAAAAAATTCATATACCATGATCAAGTAGGATTTATTCCTGGGATGCTAGGTTGGTACAGTGTCCACAAATCAATTAACGTGATTCATTACGTAAACAAAATGAAGGATAAAAATCATATGATTATATCAATAGATGTAGAAAAATCATTTGACAAAATCTACCACCCATTTATGATAAAAACTCCTAGCAAAGTGCAAAGAGAGGAAACATACCTCAATATAATAAACCCATAGCTAACTTTGTACTCACCGGGGACAAAGTAAAAGTGTTTCCCTTAAGATCAGGTACAAGTCAGGGATGTCCACTTTCAGCACTCTTATTCAACATAGTACTGGAAATCCTAGCCACAGCAATCAGATAAGAAGAAGAAATAAAAGGCATTTAAGTTGGAAAGAAAGACATAAAACTGTCATTATTTGCAGATGACACTGTATATAGAGAACTCTAAAGATTCCACCAATTAATTCAGTAAATAGCAGGATACAAAATAAATATTCAGAAATTGGTTGCAATTTATACACCAAAAATGAACTATCAGAAATGGAAACTTAAAAAAAACTCATCAAAGAATTGCATAAAAAAATAAAATACATAGAAATAAACTAAACCAAGGAGATTTTTAAAAGCCTATACTCAGAAAATTATAAGACATTGAAGAAAAAAATTGAAGAAGTTTCAAATAAATGGAAGCATATACCATGCTCTTGGATGGAAAGAATGAACACAATTACAATGTCCATGCTTCCCAAAGGAATCTATAGATTCAATGCAATTCCTATCAAAATACCAATGGTATATTTCACAGAACTAGAACAAATATTCCAAAAATTTGTATGGAACCACAAAAGTCCCTCAATAGCCTCAGCAATCTTGAAAAAGGGGAACATAGTTGTAGTTATCATGCCACCTGATATAAAACTATACTACAAGGATAAAGTAATCAAAACAGCATGGTGCTGGCATAAAAACAGACACATAAATCAGTGGAATATAATAGCCCAATAACAAGCCCATACCTATATGGTCAATTAATATTGCTCAAAGGAGGCAAGAACATACAATGAAGTAAAGACAATTCATTCAATTAATGGTGTTGGAAAAGTTGGACAAATATGTGCAAAAAAAAATGAAACTAGATCACCTTCTTATACTATACACAACAATAAATTCAAAATGAATGAAAGACTGAAATGTAAGACTCAAAACCATAAAAATCCTAAAAGTAAAAACAGGCAGTAAAATCTCAGTCACTTTTCTTAGCAGTATTTTTTTCTGATACATCTCCTCAGGTGAGAGAAAAATAAAAGAAAAAAAAAACAATGGGACTACATGAAGTTAAAGGGACTTTGCATGGCAAAGAAAGTCACCAACAAAATGAAAAGTCAACCGACTGAAGGGGAGAAGATACTTGCCAATGATACACCTGATAAGGGGTTGATATCCAAAATGTATGTTAAAAAAAACAAAACCTAATACTCAACACCATAAAAAATCCAGTATAAAAATGGGCATAGGACCTAAATAGACACTTCTCCAGAGGACACACAGATGGTCAACATGCATATGAATAGATGCTCAATGTCACTAATTGTCAGAGCAATGCAAATTAAAACCAAAATGAGATATCATCTAACACCTGTCAGAGTGGCTACCATCAATAAATCCACCACCACCAACTGCCTGTGTGGATGTGGAGGAAAAGGAACTTCATGCACTGTTGGTGGGAATGCACACTGGTGCAACCACTGTAGAAAACAGTATGGAGGGTCCTCAAAAAAGTAAAAGTGGAACTGCTTTATGAGCCAGCAATTCCACTTCTGAGTACATATACAAAGAAACCCAAAACACTGATTCAGCAGAATATATGCACCCCTATGTACATTGCACCCTTATTTACAATAGCCATGATCTAGAAGCAACTCAAGTGCCCATAAGTAGACCAGTGGATAAAAATGTGGTGGTACATATATACAGTGAAATATTACTCAGCCATAGAAAGGAATGAAATCTTACCATTTGTGACAACATGGATGGACATAAGGATATTATGCTAAGTGAAAAAGTCAGACAGAAAAAGACAAATACGATATGATTTTACTTATATGTGTAATCTAAAAAACAAAACAAACATAATTGAAACAGACTCAGACACAGAGAACAGAATGATGGTTACCAGAGGGAAGTGGATTTGGGAGCTGGGTGAAAATGGTGAAGGGACTAAGAAGTACAAATTGGTAGTTACAAAATAGTCAGGGGATGTAAGTACAACATAGGGAATATAGTCAATAATATTGTAATAACTATGTATGGTGCCACATGGATACTAATCACCATGCTATACACTCAAAACTAATCCAAAATAATATTGAATGTCAAGTGTGGTTGAAAAATAAATTTTAAATTTTGTTTGTTTGTTTTTAATTTATCTTTATTGTTGAGAATATTACAGGTGTTTCATTTTTTCCCCCAATTGACCCCCTCCACCTCGCTCCCACCCCCTCCGCAGGTGTTCACCCCATTATTGACTGTGTCCATGGGTTATGCATATATGTATATAACTTCTTTGGTTAATCTCTTTCCACCCTCCACCCCCGTTCCCTCTTCCCTCTGAAATAGGATTGTCTGTTGCCTGAGTCAATGTCTCTGGATCTATTTAGTTCATCAGATTCTTTTGTTCATTAGCTTCTTCTTAGAGAAGACCCTTCAACATTTCCTGTAGCACTGGTCTGGTGGTGATGAACTCCTTTAGCTTTTTATCTGTGAAGCTCTTTATCTGACCTTCAGCTCTAAATGATAGCTTTGCTGGGTAGAGCAATCTTGGTTGTAGGTCCTTATTTTTCATCACTTTGAATATTTCTTGCCACTCCCTTCTGGCCTGCAAGGTTTCTGTTGAGAAATCAGCTGACAGTCGTATGGGTGCTCCCTTGTAGGTAACTAATTGCTTTTCTCTCGCTGCTTTAAAGATTCTCTCTTTGTCTTTAACCTTTGGCATTTTAATTATGATGTGCCTTGGTGTGGGCCTCTTTGGGTTCTTCTTGTTTGGGACCCTCTGTGCTTCCTGGACTTGTATGTCTGTTTCCTTCACCAAGTTAGGGAAGTTCTCTGTCATTTTTTTCAAATAAGCTTTCAATTTCTTGCTCTCTTTCTTCTCCTTTTGGCACCCTCATGATGCATATGTTGCTATGCTTGAAGTTATCCCACAGGCTCCGTATACAATTCTCATCTTTTTGGACTCTTTCTGCTGTCTTGATTGGGTGTTTTTTTGCTTCCTTATCTTCCACATCACTAATTTGATTCTCAGCTTCATCTATGTTTCTATGTATTAGGTAGAGCTGTTATGTCTCCTGAAATTTGTAAAGTGGCTGTGTAGTAGGTGTCCTGTAGGGTCCAGTGGCTCAGCCTCCCCAGTCACCTGAGCTGGGCCTTCTAGGTGCTCCCCTGTGTGGGCCGTGTGCACTGTCCTGTTG